CAATCCTCATCAGTTTTAGAATCGGGTTGCTTGCCATTCAATTCAATGGGATCGAACAAATCTTTGTAATACAAAATATCCTCCATCCCAGTCTTCTAAATAGAATAATTGGAAGATGTGAGTTTAACCATGCCACTAGCTGAATCCTACATTTTAATTCTCACAATAATCACAGAGACTCAACCAAAGCTCTGATACCACTTTGTTATGGATTGAACTAATAACACAAATACAATATCACAATCCCCTATTATGCAAAATCAAAATGGCAGTAAAATAACACCGGCTCCAACTCACACACACTGGTAGAAATGTAAAGATAAGAACACCAATATTTGTTCACTAGGGAAACCCTTCAACATGAAGGAAAAACCTTGGGACCTAGTCCAGTAAAAATCATCCACTATCAAAATAATGGGATACACAGTTAACCCTATCCAGAACACAATCTAGATGCTACCAATACATCAAGAACACATATATATTCTTGGATATCTACAACAACATCATACTAAAATGGATACACACACAATAAGGAGAAAATCTCACTAAACTAGTGTGAGGAGCCCAGAGAAATGGAGAAGAATCTGGACGATCAGCTACAGTCAAAATGTAGCTATCTTTGCCAAGAATAACATACTGAAATTTCAGCTTAATCGGACCATGGATGAATCTCGATCTTTGGCAAGAAGAAACTGAAATAGCGTAGTCTCTCTCTCTCGTTCGGTCTCTATTTTAGAAGAAAATGAAGCTGCCTATTTTGGAAAGTCTGCTGCCCATTTTTCTCCCTCAATTGTATCTATATTTGCCTTTGTTATTGGACCATTAAATGGGTTTAATTGGTTTGGGCTTTAGTTGGGTAAGTCCCTAAAGTGGAGGGAAAACCCAACACTTTTTTACCGAAAAGTGGACACTTAGATGGTGTTACTTTTAGCCGCGTGACAGTGTATAGAAAAGTAATAATTGAATAACAATAATAGGAAAGAACTGCTGGTATTGGATGGAGTGGGATTCTTAAAGGGAATGCTTGGTAATTATCAATGATCGTACTTGTATTATTGGGTAGAATTAGCATGCTACCCCACAATTTTGTTTTCTGGTTATTGATTGTTATGATTTCTAGGCAATTGGTCTTGAAGGAGATGTACGAAAACCGGAGGATGCACAAAGAGTAGTGGAAGCAACTGTCAAGCGTTTTGGGAAACTTGACATTCTTGTCAATGCTGCTGCCGGCAATTTTCTTGTGTCAGCTGAGGATCTGTCTCCTAATGGCTTCAAAACAGGTCCAACTATTGAAACTGCTAAGAATCCTTTCTTCAGCGTTTATTCTATAATCCTTTCATTCATGAATTGGTTAGGCTCCTTCAAATGATTAACACAATTCGTATCATTTCTTGAACTGTATTGAAGTCAATAATGCCTCATCTGAGACAGACTGAGACCAGCATCAATTGTTAAAAATAAAGCTCACTGCCCTCTCCATGATAATACTTGTCAAAGAGAGCCAATAATCTAAAGTGATGATTAAAGAAATTTATGAACAGCTTGATTCTTCTGAAATGATAGATAAGAACATATCATCTTTATATCTCTATTTGATTATAGCATTTGCTTAAGCTCCTGTTTGTCTTCTTTAAAAACAAAATTCTTTAATTCTCATACTCATTTTCATTCACACATTCACATAATAAAATATTTTGCATGTAAACCCAAATTTTTTCCTTACTTTTTAACCAAACATTCTTCAAAAAATAACTATTTAAAACCTTTATTGCCCCATCCATTTGATAGTACTTTTCAAAGAGAGCCAATAATTTGAAGTGATGATTAAAGAAATTTATGAACAGCTTGATTCTTTTGAAATGATAGATAAGAACATATCATCTTTATATCTCTATTTGATTATAGCATTAGCTTAAGCTCTTCTTTTAAAACAAAATTATTTAACTCTTATACTCATTTTCAACAACACATTCACATAATAAAATATTTTACACGTAAATCCAATTTTTTTTGAACTTTTTAACAAGACATTCTCCAAAAAAATACTATTCAAAACTTCGGTTTTTCTCAATAATGGCCATCAAACAGGGGCTAAAGTATTCTTGAAAGCTATCTAAATGTTTGAAGATGTAATTACTTTCTGTAGTGATGGATATCGATTCTGTTGGTACATTTACAATGTGTCACGAAGCACTCAAGTATCTTAAGAAAGGTGGACCTGGAAGGGACTCATCTAGTGGAGGATTTATATTGAACATCAGTGCCACTTTGCATTACACGGCATCTTGGTATCAAATCCATGTATCTGCAGCCAAGGTTTGTGGATTTTGTTCTTGCTGTAAAGAGAGTTTGAATTGCTTAAGATTTTCTGATCGATGGGTCCGTCTTCCAGGCAGCTGTTGATGCCCTCACCAGAAATTTAGCTCTGGAGTGGGGTACTGACTATGAAATCAGAGTTAATGGCATTGCACCAGGTCCTATAGGAGATACTACTGGGATGAGTAAGCTCGTGCCTCAAGAGATAAACAGCAAAGCCAGGGAATATATGCCACTATATAAACTTGGTGAGAAGTGGGATATCGCTATGGCTGCTCTTTACCTTGCATCAGATGCTGGTTGGTAATCTTGTCTAATACTTCATAAATGTCAAGTTCCTTAAACAAAAATGGTTTTTTCTGATAACTTGGAGTTTTTATTAGATGAATTTTGAATATGGGATGTGGATCATGCTGTCACTTTTCTTAATTGGTAGTTTAGTCTTTTGTTGTGGCCTTTCAAGTGTTATGCTGTCATTGTTCCTTCATGCCTCACTGCATGAGCTTTCACCTCAAAAGTTAAACCTTAATTGTACTGCTTGAAATTTCTAGTTCTCTCTCCTCTGTGTTACATGTGATTTAGTGTTGCCTAATTCAATCATGTACCATATTGAGATAAAGAAAACATTTGTGCAATTGGCCTTTCAGGTGTTTCATTGTCTGGAATCATCAAGTAACTCAGGATTGCAAAACTTTTGCCCATGAACTTTTTTGGTTCACACAGAAGCTATTTTTTGTATTTACATATTTTTTTCTACTTTTTGTCCTCAATATTTCGAAGCCAGGTTTGGCTTGAATAGTATAATTCATAAAGTATTCTCAATCCTTTCATCTTCTATGGCAAAAAGATGGGAGTGCAAAAGGTTTTTGATTGTTCTGATCTCATTAATTGACCATTTGAATTTTAAAACTGAGTGTTTCTGATGGTTAAGTTAATTGTGTTTGCCGGGATTTCTGATAGTTAAACGTTGTCATCTCTATGAAGCAAAATGGGATGTTGTTCACAGTTGAATAAGTCTGCCTGTCTGCCGGTTTAATCGACGCACCCCTATCCCCCACTCCCCTCCAAAAATAAAACAAGGAACCCCTATCCCCCACTCCCCTCCAAAAATAAAACAAGGAAAAACAAGAAACCGAGTTTACCTTTCCATTGCACCATTCTTTTATATTTTGTCAATTGGTGTTTCAAATTCATTTTCCTGTCTCATAATTTAATTTTCTTAACAATTTGGATATGATCATAGAAGAGAATATATTTTTATATTCCTCTTTTTGAAAATACCTGGTGCTCTCTCTTATGCAAGCCTTTGTGTTTTGCAACTACTGCTTTGCTCTCATTTATTTGTACTATTTCTGAAGAAATATTGCTTATATTTAAGTCCTGACAACTTCTATCGTGTAAAGGGAAGTACATAAATGGAACAACCCTTATTGTTGACGGAGGACTGTGGCTGAGCCGACCTCGCCATCTGGCCAAAGATGAAGTTAAAGAGCTTTCTCGTACCGTGGAGAAAAGATCACGAGCTGCACCTACTGGGGTTCCTACCAGCAAGCTGTAAGCTAGCTATATATTTCAATTTTATTGTGGAGTTAATTTCCATGTACATGGAGTGGAATTACAGTTTGTTGCATAAACATGTCGAGAAAGACCTTGATCACCTTCTGCAGAGGTAAAATAATTGGACTATTTATCTCTTTACTAATTTGCTCGTATTTGAGAAATTTTTATGACATAATGGTGAAACATTAAATTACAGATTGCTAATTAGAATAAAAAAAATGTGCGTATTATTTCGAACATTAACTGTAGTCGTGGATTAATGCTTCGGCCAATTCTTTATTTTTTTTTAGTGTGGGGTATGACGATCTTGTGTAATACTCAATATTCTAGCCCATAAACGGCTTCTCTTAGACATCAACACAGGGCCCGACTTTTACAAAGGTCACCATACCTCCGAATCGGTTCTTTTATTTTCTGACGTAGAGGATTCTTAAAGAGGTAACTGCAAAGCATATTTATAATAGTACTTAGATCTTGTTCTTACTACACTTTCTAAGAATCCAATCATAGTCGTTTGAAAATTAAAGGAGATCGAAGAAATGTTTAAAAACTCAAGGAGATAAGAAACAAACTTCTTTATTTTAACGACAAAGTTAGGCTCCAAATGATGGAGGGAAGCTCCTTATATAGATGAGGAGACCCTTCAGTGTGTACAACTCACCACACTACAGTGGACAAAAGGACAATAATATATTTGACACGGATAATAATTTTACAAAAGGATAAATAACTCATCATTTCTTTTAATAAAGTAGGGAATAATTCGTCTGACATAGGTACAGTAATTTTATACGAAAATAAATTAAAAAGGCATCTTTTGAAAAGTAAGAAATCTGCTTTTACAAGCGCACTTATTACAAACGTCAAATAATTTATATAAAACCAATTGTTCACGTGGGTTGAGTCATCAAGGTATACTAAGATTTCCTACTTAACCGGCATAACCGAGTCATATGAATCAGAGGAAAATCCTTGTTACTTCCACCAGGACCAGTTATTAGGATCAAGTTTATTTTCCAATTTTTCTAGATTATCCAAATCTGTTAGATCAAAATCATATGTCAAAGAGTATACAAGCTCGTACGAGCATTTCTTTCATGTCAAAGAGTATGTAGTCCAACTTTTCAATTTACATCAAGACTGGAAAAAGTATCTAAAAGAGTTCCAAGAATTTCAAAGAATAATGGCCGAAAATAATCAGACTATTCCTCCTCCAATCTAGACTGACTTAGAAGACGTCCTTGGAATATTTTGCCCGTAGATTATGCTTTCAAGGTTCAACAAAAAACATTTAAAAAGTCAGAGAAAGCACACGTCAACTTTATGGACAGATGTTTCTATATTATCTATCAGACTCTTGAAAAATTGATGCGACACATTGGAATCAGCTTTTCCTTGGGAGACCACATTAGTGCCTTGGAATAACATACAAATACGCAGAGACAACACTAGAAGGACAACGATTTCATGAAAAAAATTGAATGAATTTGAAGAAAAAATGAAAAATAATGCTAAATCAATTGACATAGACAAACTAGGACCAAGTAATCTAAAACATAGAGATAAATTACAATAACATTATTTTCCAGGACTCTTAAGACCCATATGAATATGAAATACAGCCATATGATTTTGATCCAACAGATTCGGATAGTCTTGAAAAATTAGAAGAAAAACTTGATTTTAATAATTGGTCCTAGTGGAAGCAACAAGAATTTTTCTCCAATTCAGATGACTTTGATGTACCCAATCAAGCAGCAAATCTTGGTACACTTTGATGACTCGGCCCACTTGAAAAATTAGTTTTATATAAAGTGTTTGTCGTTTGTAATAAGTACACTTTTAAAAGCATATTTCGAAAGATGTTTTTCTTTTTCATTTGTCGTCATATAAAATTATTGTACTTATGTCAGATGAATTATTACCCCCACTTTATTAAAAGTAGTGGTAAGTTATTTGTCTTTTTGTAAAATTATTATCTATGCGTCAGATGTATTATTGTCCTTGTGTCGACTGTGGTGTGGTGAGTAGTATACATAAAGGGCCTCCTTGTCTATTTAAGGAGCTTCCTCCTTCATTGTAGATCATCTTAAACATAGTTTTGTTATCAAAATAAAGAAGTTTGTTTCTTATCTTCATTAGTTTCTAAACTGTTCTTCATTCTTCCGTAGTTTTTAGATCACTATGATAATCTTAGTATGAGTAGTAAGAACAAGATTTAAGCACATCATAAGTATGCTCTATAGTTACCTCTTTGTGGATCCTCTACATTAGAAAATGGCACTACTGATCAAAAGATCCGATACTAAGATATGGTAACCTTTGTAATATAGAAAGTCAAGCACTATGTTGATGCCTAAGAGAGGCTATTCATGGGCTAGAATACTGAGTATTGCTAAAGATTGTCATAGTCTCGCACTATTGATCTTTAGCTAAATGTTTCATTTATGCCCTCGCAAAAGTTACGCATTGTTTTTGTCATTGCGTCAAAAATGAAATTATGAAATAAAAAGGTTACCAAAAATTATACATTGGATCGGAGCAATGAGTTATTATTAGAATTGGCAAATAATACGTAAATGTTGTGTAAGAGAGAAAAAAAGAAGAGAAAATAAAAGTGTATTAGACTTTTACGTGTTTTATTAAGAACCAAAACCCTATATTTATAAGGGAGATTCAGGGATACAATGGTAATAATTTTTAGGGCTGCAGAGACACAATTGTCATTCACTAATAAACTTACCATTTACAATACTCTTTTTTGAATGACACATTACAAAATATCTGTATTATTAAAACCTTGTTTGATAAAATCCAATGGGACAAAAAAAAATCAAATAAAGGAAAAATAATACAGTTATTTTGGATTATTAAATAAAAGTTGACTCGTTAAAATCTTGTTAGGAATATTTAGAGGGATAAAACCTAAACGAAGGAAAAAGAGCACAACTCTTCATCTGATGTTGATCGCCAAAAATCTTTGAGTCAATACATTTCAATCTCATAAACAAATTTCTTGAATTTAAATGTCGACAATACTTTTGTGAATAAATTGGTCAAATTATCATTTGAGTGAATTTGTTGAATATCGATGTTGCAATTCTTTTGAAGCTTGTGTATGAAATAATTTTGGAGAAATATGCTTTGTCCCATCACTTTTGATATAGTCTCCTTTGAATTGTGCAATATAAGCTGCATTATCTTCATATAAAATTGTTTGACTATCTTTTGTTGAAGAAAACCCGTACAATACTTGGATATGTTGGGTTATGTTCCTCAACTATATACATTTTCGTCCTACTTCATGAATTACAATAATTTTAGAATAATTTGAGGATATTGCTATCAAGAATTGCTTCACAAATCTCCATGATATAGTTGTTCTTCCATGCATAAACACATATCATGTTTGTAATTTAACTTTATATGGGTCAGAAAGATAATATACTTCCGCATATCCCACTAAAGCGGATCTCGACTTTGAGCATATAATACTTTCAAATCAATAATACCTTTTAGGTAACAAAAAATATGTATAACATCATTCCAATGTCTTTGAGTTGGTTCAGAGCTATATCTTGCAAGGAGTTTACAAAAAAAGCTATGCCGGGTTGAGTGCAGTTTGTAAGATAAGTTAATGCTTTAATTGTATTAAATATGGTATTTTAGGACCAAGAACCTTTTCTCCATATTCAAGTGAAAGGAATAGATCTTTTTTCATATCAAGTGATCGAACTAACATAAGTGATCCAAATGGATGTGCATTATTCATGTAAAAACGTTTTAAGACATTTTCTATATATGTAGATTGATGAATTAGGAAATGTTCAATCTGCAACCCGAGAAAGAATTTGGGTTTTCCCAAATTTTTATCTCCAATTCATTTTTCAAATAATCTATAGTTTTGTTAGGGATTTTCAGGTGCTCCAATTAAATTTAAATCATCAATACAAATTGTCATAATTGCAAATTCAATATTTGTTTTCTTTATAAAAGTACATGGGTAGACATCATCATTTTTATAGGCTTTCTTCAACAAATATTCGATAAGGCGATTACATCATATTCGTCCGAATTGTTTCAATCCATATGATAATTTTTACAATTTAATTGACAACATAGTTCTTGGGCATGTATCATTTGAGTTATGCTTCAGCTATATTAAATCTTTGATAGATAACTTTAATAGTCATGCCAAATAAGTTGACTATCACGTATTTCAAATTTCATATATATCAAGATAACATGATATAAACTCGTGATTTCATGCAGGACGATCTTTGCGAAATTCATTATGTTAAGAATCGTGCATTACACATTACGATTTCATTTTTCTCATTTCCTTCTTGCATAAGTATACACCTTTTGATTTTTGGACTACATGTTCAAAAACTTCATATTTTTCTAGTAAAGTCAATTTAGGATTGCACTCCCTTTTATTTGGCCAAACATTACTTCGATCGATATATTTTGACACATTTATTACGATTCCTCTCTATTCATTATATGATGCAGTACATCATATGCAAAAATATTGTCAACAACTTTTTCTTTTCTTATTCAATTCTATTTTTTCCCCATAGTGACCTAACTTATTTAAATATCTCAATTCTCAACATATCATGTACCTGAACCTCTTCTGGTGTTTTATAATTTGTTGTGTCTAAATACTCATCAAGAGTATATGCTTCTTTAATGATTCCACTTTTCTAATTACTCCATTTTCTTTTAAAGGTTTTTTGTATTAGAATCGTACACCATCATGCTTTAAGTGTGCCATAAATGTATCAAATATAATGTTAACAAATTGTTATCATAGGACATTAATTCATGTTGGAGCATTGAAGACTGATGTGAGAGATATTGTTTATCTCTTTGATCAGTAAATATATTTAAATAAATTATCTTTCAAACTTCTGGTTCGAATGATATTTTGCGAGGATTTAGATGATGATGCATTTATACATTATTTTCAACTTTTTAATTTCTCCCTCTAATGCTGAGAAAATTATACAATCAATTCGACAATCGTTTTTTCAACGTTATAAAATATCACTCATTTGGGATAAAGGTTTAAACTATGTATTTATACCTAGCATTCTTTACATTTTATTTTGGTGCAATGTGGTGAATAAATTGCACTACCAAATAAACTGATGTAGAAATTGGGCTCTAACCATAAGTCAATTATAACGGGGAGAACTATGATATTGCCATGATGCTTAATAGCATTCCCTAA